CTCTGTGAAAATGGAAATGCGTGCCATCAGTATAATATCCACATTATCTGCACTGCCTCTACATTGTTGGAGGACATGCCTGATTGTGGAGTGAGGAAATATAAAAAGCACCTATTAAAGTTGATCTCAAACTTTCATTAAAAAAATAATTTAAAATTGTTTTTCTTTTCTTTGCTTTTTATATTCTTTATAAAGGCAGTAAGAACTGTAGATAAATCTAAGGTTACTTCAGTATATATTTTCATTTTCAAGCAAAGTTTGAATATTTTCTTTAATTTTTATGAACTATACTTTACAAAGTATGCATTTTATTTGATTGCCATCTATCTCAGACGTGCACAGTCACATTTTACTAACAGAATTAGGTGATATTTAAAATGCTCCTTTTAAGAATATTCAAAAAAAAACTACATTGCAGTGCATTATTTGTCTTCCTTCGTAACAGAAAGCATGCTAATTCACCTCCCATATCTCATAATTCTGTACTCAATCACTAGTTTCTGCATGTTACTTTCCTTCTTTTAACTTTTGTTAAATCAAATTTAATCTTTCTCCTTTTGCAACTACTGCATGTAGTGGTGCAATACCGATTAAATTACATCAGATAAACAGTTTAAGAAAAAAAAAAACAATTATGCTTGCCTTCTACTACTGTTAAACAAAAGGCTCAGGCTTCATACCAGAAAGCATGCCAATTCACCTCCCATATCTCACAATTCTGTCCTCAATCTCTTGTTTCTGCATGTTACTTTCCTTCTTTTAACTTTTGTTAAATCAAATTTAATATTTCTCCTTTTGCAACCTCTGTATGTAGTGGTGCAGTACTGATTAAAGTACATCAGATAAACAGTTTAAGGAAAAAAACAATTATGCTTGCCTTCTACTACTGTTAAACAAAAGACTCAGGCTTAATATCTTGTTGATAGATATGTCAGGTTGTGCTGCACTCTTTTACTTGTTATAGTTCTCTCTATGCTGTCTCGCACTCAACCCAAGTACAGCCCAAGTACACTCCTCTGACAAAGGCAATTATATGAAAAAAAAAACTGGAAATGCTTCATTTTGGGGTTTTTTTTCTATCTTAGCTTGTTTTTTTTTTAACAAAGACTGTCTGTTTGATGAAGAACTTCCAGAATAGGTCGGATCAGACTAAATATGCAAAAGTTTAAAATTTAAATGGTCTTAATTCCTTAAAGAAAACCTGAATAATATTTGGTACTAAGTCATAAACTATGAAAACAGACATTAACATCATCAACCATCCCTACAGGATGGCACACCCATTCTTATAGTGACTAGGCATGCTTATACTTAAAAAAAAACATTTTTTGAAACAAAGATCATTTTGCTTACTTGTTTATTTTTTGAGTTTTTTAACAACCCCATGTGGTATTGAACAAAAAGCCAAAAGAACTCCTGCATTAAGCTGCGTTACTGAATGAAAATGTGCATTTTTGACAAAAAAAATCACTAAATTCCAGTGCGCTCTGAATTAAAACCTGTTTAGGTACTAACCTATTTGTTTGTTTACTTATTGATGAATGTCTTTATTCATTCATTCACAGGAAATGTTTCCAGTATTTCCTCAAATAATGGAAAACTACATGATGGCCTAAAATGACTCAATGCCGCCATCTACTGCCTAAACATTATTATCTTAAAATGGGGTAAAAATAGAGTAATTCTATAACTTTGGTACATTAGTAAGTTATGAGTAATAGACAAATAAATTATGATTAAGTGGAAGTTAAAAGCACTATTGGGGTGTGGCTTTATTAATTTCTATGGAAATGCTATGAAAATTTCTCTTATCTGTGCTTCAGTGAAGGAAAGATCTGAAGAGGTTCTAATATATGGGGGTATTTTGAGAGAAGATAATATTATGATATGATATTAAAAGCTTTTAGGTTGTTGTTTCAGTCATGAACAATTGAGGAGAACATAAAACCAAATAGCCGCTGTCCATTGATGGAAAGCAATGTCTTATTACCTCAGTTGCACCCGTCTAGCCATGAGCTCAGAGTTGAACCAGAGTTCAGCCAAGCTGGGAACAGCTCCTGTTTGTTTTATCAGGAGCATGTACCATATTTCCAGATGAAATACTACAGTCGGCAAGAGACACCCCGACGCAGCCGAGGAAACAATTGACCTGCCATTAATGATTCACAGGTACATATCTGCTATAATACCAACACAGGCGGACGAAACTGAAGAAGACTCTGATGGCATCACTGATGCTGCCTCAGATAACACCTTGTTCATCAACTATGCATGGTCCTGGCAAAAGATAATAAGATAATGTCCGAGTGAGAGTCGACTTTTTATCAACCCAAGGTCAGTAAGACCGGCAGTAAGAAAGTGAGGCAGTTCAGTGAATACTTATAAGGAAAGAGAAGCTAAAGGAGCTCGGAAGATTGTTAGTAGAAACTTGTCAGAGAGGCATCTTAAAATATGACTTAAAATACAAATGAATATTTCAGCATGGTGAAAAAGGTGTATCATGAAAAACTGTTAAAAGTAACCAGTATTGGACACAAAACCATAATGAGGAGCAGACGATCAAAGACCTTCAGTATGGAAGACAAGGTATGGAATACACATTAAAAATGCCAAAAAGCAAAGCTCTTGATTTACCGGTTGACCTACGTACGTTCCTACCCTCATTTATGATCATGAGCTGTGGGTCATGACCGAAAGAACGAGATCCTGGATACAAGCGGTTGAAATTAGTTTTCGCCGTAGTGTGTCTGGGCTCTCCCTTAGAGATAGCGTGAGGAGCTCAGTCATCCAGGGAGGACTCAGAGTAGAGCCGCTGCTCCTCCATACCGAGAGGAGCCAGTTGAGGTGGCTCGGGCATCTGATTAGGATGCCTCCTGGACGTCTCCCTGGTGAGGTGTTCCAGGCACGTCCCACCCGGTAGAGGCACAGGGGGAGACCCAGGAAATACTGGAGGGACTATGTTTCACGGCTGGCCTGGGAGCGCCTTGGGATTCCCCCGGAGGAGCTGGCTCAAGTGGCTGGGGAGAGGGACGTCTGGGCCTCCCTACTGGAGCTGCTACCCCTGCACCCCGACCCCAATAAGCAGAAGAAGAAGATGGATGGATGGATGGATGGATGGATGGATGGATGGATGGATGGATGGATGGATGGATGGATGGATGGATGGATGGATGGATGGATGGATGGATGGATGGATGGATGGATGGATGGATGGATGGATGGATGGATGGATGGATGGATGGATTGTTAGAATCTTTTATGAATAGTATGTTAAAAATCCACAAGAGGACAATCGATAAACTTATTTCATGAGATTGGAAGAATTTTCGAAAAGCACAACTCCTACTTGCTGTCTTCCAATCTTATACTCACTGGAGGGGGCAGCAGTCTAAGCGGTGACTCCCAGGCTTTTCTCTGCCCAGACACCTCCTCCACTATTATAAAAAAAATAATTATGTCTATGCGTGGGAGGCGGTGTACACCCTGGACATGCCAGTCTGTTGCAGGGCAAAACAGAGACAGACATAAACGTACAACCATGCACTCACCCACACCCAAGGACAATTTAGAGATGTCAGTTAACCTGAGAGTCATGTTTTTGGACTCTGGGAAGAAGTTGTAATACCCAGAGAGAACCCAAACATGCACGGAGAGAACATGCAAACTCCATGCAGAAAGACATAGGAATGTTCAATTAGAACCTTCTTGCTGCAAGGCAACAGTGCTACAAACTGTTTCACCATGCAAACAATTTATGAGGAAAATTGATGTCTATAAATTAATGCAATATTGAAAAACATTTGGACTGGATGAAGCACAATAAGAGCAAAATCTAATGAATAACAAAAAAGTAAATGTTACAAAAAAAACTTTAAAAGGCTGCAACAAAATGTAAAATGTTCTTAAAATACCTCCAAAGGTAGGATAAAAAAAAATGACACATTAAAATGAAAAGGAGGATCATTTATTAAGATGTATAAAAAATACAGAATAATTAGCTAGGGGGAAATATAATTTTCCAATAATTTTGCCATCAACACCCTTGTTTATAGATGTTGGAGATTGGCCTGTTTTCCAGTGTAGTTCTGTTTCTCTGACTGTGTCTGGCTGGATGTGCTCTCTTCATCCTCTGACATTGGAGTTGGCTCAGAGCTCGTCTGCCTGGCTGTGTGTTTCCTGGATGGGGCCGCCTTTTACAGCTGCTTTTTGTATCTCTGCTTCTGTCTCCTTGAACCCCAGTCAGCCTTGGCAGATGGCCACTCACACTGAGCCTGGTTCTGCAGGTTTCTTCCTGTTAAAAGGGAGTTTTTCCTCTCCACTGTCACCACAAGCATGCTTAGTGTGAGGAATTGCACTCCAGTCAATGAGTTGATGCAATCAACTGGTTTTCCTTAGATAGAAAACTTTGAATCAACTTGACTGTATAATCTGGTGAGCTGTAGAGTGCCTTGAGATGGCATGTGTTGTGAATTGGCACTATAGAAATAAACTGAATAAAATTGTATTTTCCATCTATTTTATTGTTATTGTTTGATTTTGGCTTTTCACATTTGTATTCCTTATTAAGTAATTTATTGTAGGCTCAGTTTTATTTACAATAGACGATTGGTTCACATTTCCTCTAAGTAAGGTGACTTTTGATTTTTACATGTGCAGTCTCACTTTTTGGTCGCTTTGCAGTAATATTGTGTTTAATTCAAGTCACATTTATTTTTGTTGTACTCTGCTTAGTTATTAATTAAAACTATATATTTTTTTTCTCTTTGAAAACAAAAGCTTTACAACATGCATCTTTCAGTGCCCATCTTTTTTACATATTCTACCATAGGCCTGCCTCTTCACTACACTGTTTACTGTTCTTGCGTTTTTAGTGTTTCTTTTTAGTAGTATGAAATCATTATGTTCTGTTCTGTTTTTTTTTTCTTGGGTTTTTTTTTTATAGCCATGTGCTTCGTGACTCTTTCCCACCTTTAGCCTATCCGCGACACGCCTGGTTGTTTACACTTAGCGGAAGTGACGTCACCTGCGTTTTGAATCGTGCGAGCTAACTGGAGATTGATCGAGCCTGCATAACCTTTGCACTGTTCAACCCGACCCTCCTCTCTCACACATCAGGGGGGGGAAACTGCAAACTTCATGTATCCATAATCTCTAACGCGGTAAATCTTAGTCGCTCTGTTTAAATAATCCAGGTTTCCGTTACTATGGAAACAGTCCATTGTCTTGCTAGCTGGTTGTTTTCGGTAGCTAACGGCGCTCCTTTTCCGCTATGACTCTTACATAATATTTAATATTTTATCAACATGGTGTTTTTTGTATCCCATTTAGTAGATTAATACAGTTTATATGTTGATGTTGTTTATTGAGAGTCGTTTAGTGGTTTATCATCACCCTCAGCCGCTGTAATAACCGTTAGCTCTTTAATGTGCTAATAGCACAACAAAGCTAATACACAAAAAGGTCATGTTGCTCAGCTGATGCTCGACATGTTCATGATGTAGGATCAGTGTCAACATGCTTAGCTTACCGGAAGAAGGGGTTTTGTAACGTCTTTTTGTAACATCTATATTTAGGCCCTAGAGTGTAGCCTTGTTAGATGAGCGACAGCTGTTGGTTTGGGTTATTTAAAAATGTCGCTGGCTGCTGTCAGTAATAGCTACCCTGATCATCATCAACAGGAGAACAACATGGACCTCCACAAAATCATCCACAGCGCCCTGCACGAATTTATCCAGACTTACATTCCTGATGCAGACCTAAGGTAAGACCCTGATCAGAATGATTCAAATCCCTTTAAAGTCAGAATTGTTCATCTTTATCTAGATTAACTATAATAGAGCTTTGGTTACTTCAGTTATTGAGCCTGAATGACATCTAGAAAAACATATTATTGGCTATTTAAAGCATCAGTACATTGTGCTGATAATGGTTTCAAACGTTTTGTGATGTAATACTTTGAAAATGATTTTTATATGTTAGTATTTACCCATTGCATGTAAATAAAAAAATGTAAATGTACATTAGGATAACTTTTTCCTACCCTCAAAGATAAAACTTGGCAGGCTTCAGTAATTAAAAAACTACTTTTAGTCTGGAGTACCTTTTTTTTAATTTCATCATTTATGATGGAAAACTCTATGGCGGACCAACTCTGCCATATTTAGAAATAAATACAGAAATAAATGATAAGAATACAGTTATTTGCCCACAAAATACTATAAACAAATAAATGTAGTGAGAAATTGAATTATACAGTCGTATAATTTTAATTTTATTTTAATTAACTTCTTTATTTATTCACATTTGTAATACTTATCTTATTTATTTATTGTCTGTTATAATCTTCAGTTTTATTTACTTCTTACTTATTTTTTTAAGGTGTTTATGTGCATGATAGAATATTTTTGTCTGGTTTATTCTTCCTTTGTATTTCTTTTACCCTCTTTATTTCTGCCTGTCGTTTTTACATTTCTGTATGCATTTCTGCCTCATTATGCAAATGAGTAATGGCTGTGTCTTAGAGGGTCAGGCCCATGTGAATTAAATGCAACTCGTATCAAATCCACAATATATTCTGCAAAATAACCGTTGATGTTAACCTTTTGTAATGATGTAATAAACTATGTGATAAAACATTAATGCTTTGTTGCGCTAACCTAGAATATCTTGCTTTTTAAAATTTTCGTTGTTTATGTACTTACAATTGGAACAGCTTGAACAGGACACATTTTGATTTACTCTAGGAGCTCATCTAAATCCATTCACGGCTACAGAATAAAGTAGACTGTACATTATAGATTTCACAAAGCCTCTGAGATTAGGTCAAAATGTTTACACTTTCTTCCATTGGATGGAAAGGTTTATATTTGTCTTCTTTTCAAGCAAACTAATGGTAGAAACATTGTGAAGTTATGGTGATTTTATCCCCCCAAATGCAGCACGCTAGATGATGTTCTTCTGTCGTACATCACTGGAGTCCTTGAGGATCTGGGCTCCCAGCAGAGCGTTGAGGAGAACTTTGATGTGGAGGTCTTTGGAGAAATGCTGGAAGCTTACATACCTGGGTTTGCTGAAATTGACAGGTAACACAGCCACATGTTGTCTCTTGGTTGGTTATATAAAAGCAAGACAAATAGAGATTTTTAAATAATGGTTTTGATTTTTTCTTTAGTGTCAAAGTTTATGAAATGATGTTCAGTCTGGCTTCAAAGCTGGCCACTGCTCGGACATCGGGTGAGTGTTTGATTATATTGTTTTTAAGCTTTCCTTTACCAGCCTGCGTTACAAACTAAATGTTGATTATCTTTTGTTGCTTTTCAGCTGACAAAGAAAACAGCGTGCCTAAGACAGGGACAGAACAGCTTTCTTTGAAACTTACTACCCTGGCCAGTCAACCAGCGCCAGGGCAAGAACCTCAGTGCCTTAAAACACAGACAGAGGGCGCTACAGCCAAGGTGATGACAACAACACGCATCAGCAGTTTTACTTTCCACCTCAAGCTTTAGAATTAATAATTAAAACTATAAATATGGTGTTCTTCAGCTGTCCGTGTCTGAGTGGGAGATCCAAGAGCAGCACCTGCTGGAGATGTTTCCAAAGTGCAGTTTGTCAGAAGCTCGCAGTGCCCTTTCCATTGCTAAAGGAGACATGGAGGAGGCGGTTCGACTTATCATAGAAGGGGATGTGCAGCTCAGCCCTACTCCTCTTAATGTAAGTCTCCATGATGAAAAAACTTTGCGCTTTATCTTAAGGGCTCTCCACCATTTTTAAGTTACCCCTGCAACCTGCAAACGTTATGAACCCCTGTTTATCAATTTTACAGCTTGAAGGGTTTTTCCACATTCTTCTTTATGAAGAGGTTCAAGTTAGAACAGAAATATCCTTTATCATCCCACAGTGGGGGAAATCAAGGCGTGTCTGTGGTAAATCATCATCGCTACAGTTTCTCTGCTCTGAACTTAAGCTATTTCTTTCTAACACATGGGTGTGATTTGATCTAAGCCTTTCAGTGTTAGCTCTTACTTTGCACTTAGTGTTGTTTTCCTGGATGGAGTTATGTGTCCCTTTTTTCAAGTGTTTGGAAATCGCTAACAGGTTTTTTTTTAGTGCTGCACTGTGTCCCTTTTATCAACAGGTTTCTTTGTCCCTGCAGGAGAAAAGCCTCCCATTAGCATGGTACCATGCCATGGTGTGTTCATAATCACAAAACTTGCATTTATACTTAGTTTGAAATAACTGATACGATGGTCTTTACTAGTTGGCTGATTTCTGAAAGCAGTTCATTGATCTGGATTTATGCATCTACTTTGGGACTGTTAAAGGTGTAGTTGCGGATGTTCTATTTCTGGGTGAATCATCTAAATAAGTGGTCCTCTTAATTGTCAAATATTCTGGTGATATGTTTACGTAATACCATCCTACTTGCACATCCCCATTTTCACTTACTGGTGGTGAGTCTGACATAGTGGAAAAATTGCAAATCTTTTGGAAAGTAAGTTTGTATGAGCGATGCAAAAGGAAACTTTTAAGCAGAGCGTGCACGAGGAGAAATGGGCTCATGCATGCTCTCGTACACGTTTAATAGATGCTCCCTCTCGGGAGCAGGTACAGGGTTGTGCATGTGCATTTTTTATATATTTTTTTAAGTGCAAAGGGCGGTTCTTTTCAAAAATCCCTCACTATACCTTTAAACTAAAATTGGTTCAATTCAAATTTGAAAATTATTTGAACACGTTTTGACTCATAAACGATGCTGTATTTTTGCTGGTCTGTAACATAAAATCCCAATAAATGCAGTAAAGTTTGTAGTTGTTGCATAATAAAGAATACTTCTACATGCCTTAGTAAACAGCTGAGTTGATCTCATTCTGCTGTCTCAGGTAAACCAAGGGAAGAGCATTTCCTCTCTTGCGGACCAGAAACTTAAAGAGAGTATCCTTGAGAAGTAAGTCAAATGGTTAATATCATGGCTGTAAACAGAAATATCCTCTCAAGTTAATGTTCAATCTCTATCTGTGCAGATACATGCTGGTGGACAGTGAGGAAGATAACAAAACACATCGGCCCGTCGCCCCCAAAGATGTATGATTCTGAGCAGATTTCATCTTCAGAAAGTTTTTTTTTCTTTTCAGTAACACTTTTTGTCTCTCTTAATCAGGCTCCAAAAAAGCTTGTTCGCTACCATGGTAACCAGGTGGTTACAACAAAAGGTGAGAGATACCAGCTTGTGAAGAAAAACGAGGATGACGAAATGAAGAAGACCTACGTCCACCTGAAGCCGGCCCGAAAGTACCGCTTTCATTGATGATGAGCTCCTGCAGCTAGTAACAGCATTGTTTACACTACTCCTTTATCCAGCTCATTAAAACGGAACTTGGTGTAATTTTTTTTTTCTCCCCAAGTAGTAGAAAGCATTTTGTCTTTTCAGTGTGGGAGTGGCTTATTTTAAACATTTCTAACCATCAGGCCTTGAAAAAATATCTTGGTATTTTAGCTGCGTCGCTGATGCTTTTCAAACTTTTTTTCATCAAGCTGTTGTAAGTTGTTTTTTGTTTTGTTTTTTTGTGTGACAGACAGCCAATCAGATTTATTTTTGGCCACCTCAGCAGGTCTGATGTTGCACTGACAGCTCTTTTCGGGCAGGAATTATTGATCCATGATATTTCCTAGTGAGCATTTCTATGTTTGTGAATAAGTGGTGCTGCCGAAGTTAATTTAGGACATTAGAGGTCTTAGTGTCTTTCCCCATCCCCCATATATTTCATCATGGTTTATTATAGAATTTTGCTTAAGCCTTTAATTATGTATGTTGTGTTTTTGCTACACTCCAAAACTGTATTTTATCTGACAGATTCACAGATTTGTAAGTTATTGCACTGATCCAGGGTGAAGGCAAATGTCTAAAAAGAAAGGAGTCTTAGTATGTGTCTTTATTACTGATTGGGGAAAAACTGTATATTTGTTATTCTCTACTGAGCCACTTGGACAAATAACAGATTTGGCTTCGCCCTGACAAAATAAGTCTAATTTTCATCCATCATGTTTACTGAAAAAGCTAAATTAATGTAAACATTTGCTGAAAAGCAAATACATTTCTTTTTCTAGAAGTGAACAAACTACAACACCGTCTTATGTATTGGAACATGTGGTTTTTGGTTTCCTTCAATTCTTCTGTAAATTGCAAACCTGATGAGTTTTATCTTGAAGCCCAGATCATTTATTTTTGATATGTAAATAATTATGTCGGCAAATCCTTAAATACTTTGCAGCGGTGTTACCAAAATGTTAGCTGCCTGTATTAGTTTTTGAAAGCAATGATTTGCAAACCTAGCTTGACCTCTTCATTAAATTTGAAATGGCAATAGAGATAAAATACAGTATATCTGTTACTGTATGATGTATGTTCATGCCTTTAATTTGAAAAACCTCTCAGTTTAGATGAGGATAAACAGTTGAGAAAGCAGGACAGGCTATTCATTTTTCAGTTCTCTTCAACATAATGTTCAAATAGTGATGTCTTAATGTTGTGTTTATCAGGAAACGGTAATTTATTGAAGCTGGATAAAAAATAGCCTCTGTTGTACTAAAACCAAACAAAAGCTATACATTATACAAACCATGAGGAAAAGTTGGGATACCGTACCCCCTTATAACAAGTCTGAAAAATGTACTTAATTACTCGCATTCTCTCTGGGATAATGTAGTCTGCCGATCATGGATTTATGAACATCTTACCGCGAGTTTGTTCACTTATCATCAGAAGAACACCAAACTAAATCTCAGAGCTTTAGAGGAGGAAATCCTCCAATGAGTTATGTTCTAATCAAGCACTTGATATAATAATATTCTTTAAACATTTTCCTTTGTATTAATTGAATTTTACAATATTGTTGAATTGGTATTTAAAAACATACATTTTTTGGAAGGGTCCTGAGGAGAGGATTCTTCCCACCTTTTAAACAGTGTTAATTATGGTATTTAAAAAAAAAATGCTTAGATACTATCTGAGATTGAGGAAGTTATTGTAGGAGATGATTATGGAAGAATTGTTTTAATGGTCACACTGGATACAACAAATAAATACTTGATAAAAAACTTTATGTAATGCCTCTTTTCATAATTGCTGGATTTGTGCCTTTCTTTGATTAATTGATTAATAATAGGTAGGTAATTAATATGCTTCATAGTTATTTAATAGAATTTGACAGAGCATCTTACAAAGGATATTCACCTTAAGGTAAAATGTATTAGTTGTTTGGCTTCTCTGTTTTTGGGGTGGTTGTTTTTACCAAATGGAATGTTTTCAACTCTGCATAATCAAGTAAACCATTATTTCATTACCTGCTTATTTTGATAATCAATTGATATTATGAATTGCTGTAACATAAGCAGGAATGTTTTCCAACTTTATATGTTGGAGGTTTCATCCCTGGCTGAGTTTAACTCTTATCAGATGTGTACAGTAAATCTTCAAAGCTGATGACGTGGGTCAGAAAGTATGATTCATTGACTTAGAAGTCCCTACTATTGGTGGATATACTGAATTGTTGCAGATATAACATTTTAAACCTCTAGAAGCAAAAACATACAAAGAAGATATGGAAATGTTAAGACATTTAGGTTATTGTAAAATATGTTGCACTGACAAACAAGGCCTGTTACAGCTGAAATACAAAGTAAAATCTGAATAACGTAATTAAAACAGCAGTGGTTTGACCCATTGCTCTCAACACATAAAATGTATATTAACACTGATTCAACAGGTTTGCAAATCATTGTTTTATTTAGCATTCTGTGCAACTTCTGAAAGTTGGATTGTGTTTATAAAGATGAAAGGTGTGTTTTTTTCAGGGAAACCTAAAACTACTGTGGCTCTTGTCTCAGTTGTGTTTGTGTGTGAATTTTTGCCCCACTTGCAACTATTGTAAAATGAGTGAACTCCTTTATTCTTTTGAGTTGTTTATTTAGGACAAATAAGCTGATCTGTTTCTTCTTCTCCCAGGATTAACTATTTATATTGCTCCTCTGTTTGATGTAACGTGCAGCTCTTTGAATCCTATGATCTGTTATTCCCCTGACTGTAAAATAGAACTGGATGTTAAGATGATGTGATGTTATATTTATCATGCAGTGGTGTTACTGTAGATCAAGGAGCAGACCTTTCTGAAACTGTTAATATTTTTATCTTCATCATAGCTTCTGATAAACAATTGATAGTAAACCTAACTTTTGTAGACAACCATGGGCTTCCTGTTTAAGATCTAAAAGAAATTATTCAGATAAATCCGAGTGAAACATTTTACTTTGCATGTCCACTTATTTTCAACATCCTAGGCAATCTTTAGAAGTAAGATTGCTTTTTAATTATTTTTAAAGAAAAAATTGGGTTTAGAAATTTTAGTATTATCTTGGCTTTTTTTTTCCTCTTTCAATGTTCTAAATGACAAGTCAATTAAAGATAAATAAATCCAGTTTTACATTAAATCGAGATGCTTTCTTATAGTTTACCAGTTAATTTAAAAGGTTATCCATTAGTATTTGTGCTCTGGACTTGCTGTTCCAATGTTCAAAGGACAATTTTACCTCCTCTTCTAACGATTACCTCACACAGGATACGAAAATCAACACACATCACTAATTGTGTACTTTTAACCAAATATTGTACTACCTGCTTTAAAGACTACAAGTCTGGGATACATTTTTTTTTAAATGGTTGAGGTAAATCCAGATACTTTATTCGGTGTCGGACTATCAGTATCAGACTGTTCTATTAAAACAAAGTTTAACAATTTAGGAGTCCAGAACATTATGAAGGAAGCCTGGAGATGTTTGATCTTTCATGCCCGTCTGCAAATAAACTTTCTCAATAAATGTTTCACCAGAACAGCAGAAGACTCCGTATTCCAAACAGCATTAATGAAACACTTTCAGATTTAAAGCTTTTTAATTCCAGAGTGAAAGCAAACACATTCACCATAATATAGAAAAGTTTCAACTCAACTTCCTTTGTTGTCATGTATCCTATCAGGCAAATACACAGTAAACAATTCATCTAGAAATTGAAACACTTTGATGTATTTTTTTCTAACAGATAAATTAAAACTCATTGAATAGAGTGCAATTAATAAAGAAATATATATAAACACTATTTAACAAGATGAAAATCTGCTGGGACTGACTTTCTGAAGTTTGCATGGTGAGAAAATAGTGTGTTTGGCAAACCACATATTATTCTGCTTTTTCTGTCTCAAACTAATCTGCAATATGCAAAAACTTCTGGAAAAGGTTTAAAGAAAGGTATAAACAAAATCAGATGTCTAAGAGGCCTTAGAGGGAAATTTAGTCTCCAGCTGGCAGGCTTGGTGTATTTTTCAGGGTGTTAAGTGTTTATGCCGGATGTAAGAAAAGTCCAAATAAATGCATGTCTGATTATTGATAAGTTTAAAGTGCCTGTAATGGAGCTCTTTTAAAACAAGTTGTGTTTGTGTTGCTTAACTATTTTATTTCTAATAGGAAAAAGAAAATGGAAAAGACAAGCTAAACAAGCTTTTCCAAAACTTGACCACTAGATGGTGCTGTAAGCTGCACAACGACAAAGCAGTAGATGATCTTATTAGCTCATCAACTGGTGGCATTTAATATTTATCATTTGTTCCATTAAACTTATCGTAGTTTTGTTAGATTTCCAGCTAGTCACATTTATATGCAAAGCTCCGTCTTTTATAGTTTGGCTGCAAATTCAACAAAATCTTATATATAAATACAAACAAAAGCCTTTTTTAAATTAATACCCTTAGCTATACTCAACTCATACCTTTATCATCTAATAACTGAGTGATTTTTATATTCTTTCTAAATTATGGTGAGTCTTGTTGATAAATGAATGCAGATTAGTATGAACTGACATAATGCAGATAAAGTTATTCTAAAGAACAGTTTTTTCTGTGAAAACGAATGTAATATTGGGATTTCAAAATTCATCCCTTAAGATATGAAATCTCTTTATGTCACCTATATAAGCAATGTTTACTCATCTAAAACACAGAGGCTTCCTCAAAGGTACAAATATCAAAATTTAAGGCCAAAGCGGAACTTGTAAGACTTAAGGAAACACTGATTCAGGGAAATATGTGTGGAAGTCTTCACTCCAAGGGGGGGCAAAAAGGGAAAGAAAATAATCCTCTTAAGAGTTGGTTAAAATCCCAGTGGTGTAATTCATTTCCTGACTCCGTACCCTTATTATGACAGTGGCATTCTGAGACAGAAGCAGAATGGTTTCATGTTGGCTGATTGCTGCCATGCACTGCTGCTTAGCTCCGACGACAGAAAGCGTACTGAAGACACACACGCTTCACATGCAAACAGTTTGTGGAGCAGTCCGTTCAGCGGCTTGGAGCTCTAACTGAAACACTGGTCATATCTCCCTTTGATCATCGTTTTTAGTAAAGGCCCAACCTACAGAGAAGAAAGAGGAGTTTACTGTTTCATAAAATCGCAAATAATGCAGCACTCTGCCCTAAATGTTCATCTTCTGTTGGTGGAAAAATCAAGCTATCCATTAATATTCACAGTAACTGGGTTGTTGGGAGGGTCTGTATCCTGGAGGGATTTTATTTTAACATTGACCTAAATATAGATCATTTTTAACTACTCTAGAAACAGGCAATGTGACATTCAAGTGCAAACATTATTCAGATGATAGTGTTTACACTGCGCTTCGTTTGCAACAGTAATAGCAGCAAACAAATGTATGTGTATATATTTTTTATTTACCTCATGTGGATCTCCAAGTGCTTCTCCAAGCATCTTCTCTATATTCCTCATGATAGCAACCTTCTGATGAGCTCGCAGAGGGTATTCTATCTTCTTGGGCGTAGGAGCTCCCTAAAAAAACACAATTAGACAAAATGGTTAAAAAATGTATTGAGAATCACACTTTCTTTTATTCAAAACAGCTTTCGACTTGAACATGCGTACTTTGTACCAGAAGTTAACAGTGATGGTCACTCCACCATTCAACAATGACTCGATGTGATGCCACCTTTAAAACAAGACAAAAATGACTGAAAGAAATCATAAAAAAACATGTTTTTTCTTCTGATAGCTTGTTTTTATTTGAAGATGAAATCAAGAGAAAGATTTTTTTTAATATGCAGTTAGAAAATAATGAGGAAAAAAAGCTTAAATAGAATTAAATCTATCATTTTTAGAGCAAATCATGTGCTTGTTGTCATTTTATATAATCTTTCACTTTTAATCTCGGGAAAACTGAATGTATACATTTGAAGAATGCTAAAGAATAATTGTAAGTAATTAAAGCTACCATTAAGAAATACAAAAATATATATTTTTTTTTTGAGTTTGTGAACCATGTGACTGACAGAAATTGAAATTCAAGCTTAAATCATTTTAGAACTGAATGGTGATTCCAGTGTCCTGCCAAAAAGTAAGCAGGCATTTAACTGTGAAGGTAGTATGGACAATTTCTATACTCAGTCTCAACACATTCTCATAACTTTATGTAAAAAACAACAAGAAAATTGAATAGTCTCATTAACTTAGGCTTACTGAACATCTGGCTTTCTTAAACTAAAACAAGATGAGAAGTCGCAGAGGTTAGCTTGTTCTTCCTGAGCTCAGCTGTCTGCCTGCAGGGCTGATATATGGCTTCCACCTTCTGTGATACAGTTTCAGTTAACATTTCTATCTATTTTTATCCAGAACAAATTTTCCGTTTATAATGCAAGAAGATAAACTGAGTTAAGATCTCGTTCAGCACAATTTAAACTCACACAGTTTGGTGGTTAAATGCCGAAAATAGGAAGATCAAAAGCATGTCTTACCAATACATAGGGATGTAGAGAACATCTCCAGGTCCCACAACAGCTTCATACCCAACAGTATTCTTAAAATTTGGAAACTTCTCATAGTTAGGGTTATCAAAATCAACCTAAAAAGGCAGAAGTTGTTGAAAAATATGAAAGTATGTCCTTAAGTTTAATGAGCCACTTTTAAATCTGGAGAACAGCAAAAGTTACTTGGCTCTGTCTGTCACAGGGGTGATGGACTGGGTAGGGATAGAGACACTCAAACTGGTCTGGAGGGAAGAGGATGCATCTCTTGTGGCCTTTTATCTGTGCAAAGAAGTTCTGCTGCTCGTCATAATGTGCTGGTGTCACATTGCCTGTGAAGTATAAAAACATATATGATGCTCAACATTCTGAAATATACTACTGTTTCCTTTGAAAGCCTCTCTGAAGTTAATAGAACAGGTATGTTTCCACACACAGGTGAACTCCATTTGCCAGTAAGGGTTATGGAAACTGCATTACAGAAGATAAATGAGAAGCTCACCCTCCATGCCAACAAGCAGCAGGTTGGACGTCAGTGCTCCCCAGTTTCTTTTGGCTTGCTGTTTGTTGATCCAGTTCCAATTGAAACCAAGAAAATCAACAACAATCTTCTTTCCTACTGTGTCATTTAGTGTTTGCTGCAAATAGACTCTTGAAACACATAAGGAAAGAGACGTGCTTTAATTATGAGTCATGCCATTTCACAAGCAGAGGGCTGAAAACATTCCCTAGTCCGGCTAATATTAAGTGTTGCAAAATAGAAAATGGCCTTGTTTACAGTGGAGTTTAATGTTGAACTGAATGAGGCAGAAGCTGGAAACCCAACGAAAACATCAACTGTAAGGGTTGGCAAGTTAATCTTAGTATAGTAAGAGCAACCAGATCCATCAGGTCAAAGGAATAAGCCTCTCATGTATATAACTGCTTATTCACTGGCTCTGTATCAAAGGCATGTCTTTTCTGTAACATTTAGCTGCCAGAGGTTAAAAATGCACAAATCATTTACCTCTCATCTCCTCCTTCCTCTTCTCTTTTATGCATGCTATCCACAAACTCTGAGAATTTCATTTCCACTCGACGGGATTTGGGAACAAAGTCTGTAAAGATGCACATTTTCTTCTCATCATAGTAAAGGAATTTGTGGTTTTCCGAAATGTAAACAGAGAAGTCTCCATTTCCAATGTTCTCCTGGAGGTATGGGATATCCCATTTCAGAGCTGGATATACGAGGTTTGTGTCTGTCAAAACCACCGGTTCCTGGAAGAAGATTAGGAATACTTTAATGAAATGTCAAAACAAGATGCATTCTGTCTGCACACTTAAGTGGAAGTAGGAACTAAATACGGACAACTTAAAGCAGTTTCCCTTGATTTCATTAGTTAATTCTGACGTATAGAAGGCTTTTTTTGTACCATCTAATCCTTAGAAAACCACCTTAGAAGGAACACAATCTATATGATAGACTATGCGTTTATAAAATAATATATAATCATGAATAATATCAATAACAGATATGAACCAAAAAAACTAGCCCCACAAAAGAACACAAGCTGAGATTATGAGGCACAGAGGGGAAGTGGCTAAACTTAACATCACAAAAGCTGCTTTCATCCATTTAAAAAGGGGAAGTCTTGCAGATGTCCAATAAGTCTTGACATCTAGGTGGTAACAGACATTTTTCCATCAACAATGAGTAAAATACACTGGGATGAACAACATTTAAATTATGCTCCTGCTATCAGTACTTTGCAACCATAGGACAAGCAGCAGTTCAAATCTAAATTTTAATTTTCAGTTACACTTTTTATTAGGGCTAGGTAAAGAAATCGATTTAATCCATTTTGAATCGATTCCTTTACATTTTTGCTAAATCGATGTCTAGGGAATGAGATTGATTCGTTTAGTGACCCACGTGAAGTTCACATTCAAATAAGCAGGAAAGATGCACTCAAGATGACTTCAAGCCAGACAGCTGCAAATATTCCCAATAGGTTGACTGAATACATTAACAAATGGGGGCTGACCGGCAAACACCCTGTAGTTGTTACAGACAACGCTGCAAATATGGTTTGTGCAGTGAAGATAATGCAGTTCCTGCATGTCTGCTGTGTCCCCGCCGTGTCACGTCTGCTTGCTCGAGTGAGGCTTCCCTTTTTGGCTTTTCACAAACAAGTTTGCACTTATGAGACAGTTTTGTTCACATCTCAAGTTTAAACTGTCTGATTTACAAGTTTGCACTTTGTGTTTAATGTGACAGAAAAAAACAAAATACATGAGTATTTTGAAACACAGTTCAACCACTTTCTTTATTGTAAAAACAGATCGAATCGAAATTAATCGATTTAGAACTGTATGAATCAAAATCGAATTGATTCAGGACTTTGGCGAAAAAACCCAGCCCTACTTTTTATGCTTCTGCAATATAAAAAAAAAACTGAAGCAGCAACTGTTAATAGTAAATAAACTTGCTTACTGTAAATCATTTGAAGGCTGCATCTAACCCTATCAGATAATTGCACTTTAAAAATGTGATTGTATCTTGTACAATTCATTTTAATAGCTATTGTATTTTGCACCTATGACAAGTATTGATGTCAAAAATGTATGTAATAAAACAACGTAGTGAGGGAAAAAAATAAAAATAACTTTTTAAGAATAAAGTTATCATGCAGCCAGCTATCAGTTAGTGCTGCAATTTCTTCTCCAATTGCTTAATTTGTGATTTGGTTATTAGTTGCACAGTCCAATTAAAGAAAATATATGGCCAATTGCTGCTAGCAATTCCAGATATTTCCTAAACTGTCCATAAAAAAATAAAAACCGTCTATTGATTTTTATTTTTCCCCCAATAATGATGTTGCAATATCCAATTTATCTTTGGGTTTAATTAACTATTTTAATTAAACTGTGTAGCTACTTTAAATTTAAAGGGATTTTATTTATTTCAAAACGAGTAAAATTGTACATTCTTTCTAAAAAAAAAAATAAATAAATAAATAAAATAAAATAAAAAACTTGCATAATAAGATAAATATGAGCATAAATAGCTGACTTCCATGATAAACTGGGGGGGGGGGGGGGAATCTGGTATTCAGGTTTAAAGCGTAGTAATTCACAATAGAGAAAAATAGAAGTACCATCACTATTATTCAAATGTATATAGGCCTAAGCATCTTAATTAGATTTTTTTTATCTACTTTTTAAATATTTCAAATAAAACTTAGAACATTAATGCCTTCAAAACCTCCAATCTTAAAAGTTCTTAAAATAAAAGTTCTCTAAAGTTGAAAATTTTCACTCACAAATGTAGCTAACTAGACCACGGTTGTAAATAATACAGCAGCAAGAGAAAACAAAAATTGTCATGCAAAACACTTTATATTAGAGTTAGTCAATTTATTTTGATGAATTGCAAAAACTTAAAATGCAAAAAGCCTTATCACAAAAACCTTTTGCATCTGGAGGTTTTTGTCATATCCTATTAAAATAAATGTAATCTATTTTAAATAATTTAACTATTAAATTGCCGTTCAATGTTTTGCATCTGCATTAGTTTGCAAACTATAAAATAACCAAATATAACTGCAGTTCATATATTTCCAAAATTACATTTTGCGATTTAGGTGCGCGTGCTTCGCGTGCATGCGCTCCAGGGTCTACGTGACTAAATGAACGTAGCCCGTGGTGCGCGCTCCCGCGGCCCGGCCGCCTGCAGCGGCTCGGTTTCACTTTCACCGGAGGACGCTGAAAATCTGCTGCTGCGAAACCCGTTAGAGGAACATTTACACCAGCTGGTCTGCGTTCATTTTTCTATTATTAGCAAAGGCGATAAAAGTCTGAATAATGTTACAGATCAGTGCCGTTAAGGCAGATAAATATTGCAGAGAGAGAAGATTATTTTATTTAACCTGATGTAAATTTCTGTTTGCTACAACAGGTGTACATATATATACAAAGCTGATAATCAATCTTGACCTTCTTTTAATTAAAAATGAACATAATCGACCTATAAAATTAATAAATGAAGATATGTGGTAAGAATACTCAGCTTTTAGCCTTAAAATTTATCCTTTAAACCTAACAGCTATTATCATAATACAACTATTCTTTCAAACATATAAAAATCTAAAAAAAAACTACAACTTCATTTATCACAAGACGGATTTAAGGGTGGCTTTTAAACACCGCACAGCAACAGAAGTACACAGGAAGAGCTCCTCAGTAGCTCAGATTGCTTTAGCATCTCTTGTGCCATTTTCTGAAGGTCATTTAGAAAGGAGGAGTTCACTTTTACGCAGTGATTAATGCTATTCTTGTATAACAGTTCTCAGGAGATTAACATCGCAGTGCAGATCCATAAAAAGCAGGAAAGCATAGGAAAAGGAAACCTGGATGATTTTGAGTCAGTACAGATGTTTTGCTCACATCACATTTCTGTAAATGTTGCTGATGGGAATACTATGAAGGTGTTTTAATATATAGCAGTCAGTGTAAAGATAAGATACAAACAGCAATGAATCTAAAATTGAGTTTGCACATTTGGTGTTTTGTAACACAGCTTTAATTTCGGGGCATGTAGTTCACTAGAGCTCCAAAGGTTGCCACAAAAATCCTCTTTCTTCCATGACGACTTAATTTAGCTGGTAGATGTTCATAATATTGTGCTCCTTCTTCGTTTTTAGGATGTCCTGCAGATCTTGAACAGGGTCTGATTAGTTTCTTTAGCAAAGCAATGGTCACCTTGGAGGTGCGTTGGGGTCTTTATCATGCTGAAATACTAGCCTGTGACCCAATTGCTGCATTGTTCGCTCAATAAAATTATGGCTCCGCACTGCCATTGGCACTTATGCAGCACCAAACCATGACTTTTCCACCAACATGCTTGACTTTAGTAAACCATACTAGTCTTTTTACTCCTCATCTGGTCACCCAGTAGTTATGGACCATCTGAGCCAAATATCTCGCTCTCATCAGACCAGAGGACCTGGTTCCAGTAATCCAGGTCCTTAGTCTGCTTGTCTTTAGGAAACTGCCTCCTTATGCATCATCTTAAAATGCTTCATCTTGAGATGACAGGCATGCAGACCATTTTGATACAAGATGCCATGTATGGTCTGAGTACTGACATGAGGAGGGAAAATAACCCAACTAACCGCAATCTGGACATGTTAACCTTGAGGTGTTGCAGGCAGTGTACGCATTAATATGTGATTTCTTATGTGCTGTCCCACTTAATGTTTATTAAAATGTCAAGGTGGAACTCATTCTAGTGCAGTACTGCAAAATTTGATTTACTTGTTAACAAAATGCAATTCAGTCTGTATTTGTTACACAAAAGATGAAATATTAAGCAATACGTCACCCTTTGCAAAAAGCAAACAGCTCATGGAAGGCCAGGGAAGTGGGGATGTTTTTGGGAACTGAAACATGGTCAGCAGCATTTATTTAAGTAAAACATACCATTTTAAGAGAACAATGCCCTAGCAGAGAATGTGCTATTGAATAAAGACGTACTATCCTGTTACATGAAAACAAAATAAAAGATGTTAATTTAAAGCTGATTAACCTGAAATGAAAACAACTACACAGACATGAATAATAAAAACTCCAAAACCAAATGTAAACAAAGGCATAATGTTGTCGGTCCTGAATAGACACACTGCCAGATAAAGTGCTTACGGTATGTAAAATCAGATGCCAAACAAAAAGAAGAGTTAATGAAAAATTAAAAAAATTTATTTTCTGACCTTAAAAATTTTACAATTAGTCGACTATAAAAAAAAAAAAAAAAAATTAACCGCTATTGCAAGCAGCGCCAACAAGATCAATTAAAGTAGTTGGTCGAATTTTTAAGTGATGCTTTTATATCTTTAAGCACTGTTTATACTTCAGTTTAAAGTCTGCATAAGAGCTAAGGACCTCATACTTGCTGATCAAGGACTCATCAATCAATAGTTTAAACCATCGCTGTTACAGTGCTCTTATCTTTTGATGAGCACTGCTTGTCAGCTGTCTAAAAGGATGGCACTATGTGCTTCCCTCACATACAAAAATAAACGTATTCAGCTGTTTGTAAATCTTTCTAGACACACAAATCCATGATTTGAAATTTCCCAACTGTTAACAGAGCGGGGGTTTAAAACAGTAGAGCAGAGAACTGCAGGTTGACCCACATATTTAATGGGCTTTGCCAAGCAGATATTGTATGAAATACTCTACATAAAATCTAACAGTAGAAAATCGGTTGTTTATTGTCTAATCTTATTTAAGTGTATATTTAAATAAATTCTGAGTGGTATATATAAAATATCTAATTAATCACATAAAATTAGGACACATTTTTCAATAAATTATATACCGGGTAGCAGTGCCAGTAACTGCATCATTCTCTACATTTTGTTTAAACATATTACTACAGAACATCTGTTTTAGTGTGATCATTTAAACATGAATTGTAGATGAAGAAAGAATTTAACTCCTTATATGTGACAATTTTGGCTTATTTGGTTCAAATAAAAGGGTGAAAATCTATTCAGATCTTCTGATTTACATCAATGCTGCCCCACGATAGAGTCAACAGGTGCATTCAACCAACTGATGTGTAATTAATACTCTGGATTTAGTCGACCTAGATCCTTAAAAAGCTTTCGTTTTGCCTGGATAACATAAAAAAAAAAGCTAATTTGCCTTACTTTTAAATGATTTACATTCACCTTAATGGAGGTCTATATGCATTTTATAAATTCCCCCATTCTCAAGACAGATAATGGAAATAACAAGAGTGAAAAATAGCACAGTGAAAAATATCTACCTCAGCTTCTTTGCACTGAATTCGTGTCATCATCTGTTTGTTCCCTAAATCAGAAATGTCCCAACTCAGATCTACATCAACTTAGATCTACGCCACCTCAGATCTACGCCAGCTCAGATCTACGCCAGCTCAGATGACTATATATGACTATATTTGTCATATCAGTATTAAAATATCTTCCACCAACTGTTCCTAGACTTTTAAGCTCATGACCCACAATACAAGACGTGTGGTCCCAATTACCAATTTGTGTATTTTTAAGCCAATCACACACAGACATAATAGTAGCAGGAACATCAAATATATAGTTTATATTTTAAGTTAAATTTTATTTTTTTCATTTATCATGCATAGATTTAATCTGTAAAGTAATTTCCAGTCTGGGGATCAGTCTAATGCACAGATCAGGTCTGTAATAATTAGTGTTTTTATACATTGTATAGTATTATAAAGCAAATTTAACGTTAAAGTACCCTATAAATACTTGACCTAAACTGCTTTATATTAAAACAGTGAGTCAAATATCCTGTTTAAAGCAAAGGATATATAAATATCCAACGTAACATAAGGCAAATCCTAAAAACCATAAAGAAAGTCATTCAAATGGTGTTTTTAAAAAGTAATAAAAACGATCGGAATGTATTCCTTCCTAAGTTTTTACTGTAACTGAAATTAAAAATAATTCTAGATTAAATAGGAACCGTGTCAACATTGTTAACCCCTTCCTTCAATCTAAAATATAATAGATATTAACTTTTACTATCAGTACCTTTCCATTTCCGTGTTTATGCTTCTTTAAATTGAGCCGTCAGGTGAAAGGTTCACTTTTATTTATATATATATATACACCTAACTGCAGCGGAGTTACCTCGTTGTTTATGAGCATCTCTGCCCTGGGATCCGTGTAGGACAGCCGGGGAATGGGCTTGGTTGGGAAAGGGTATTTTCGGAGCTGGGAAATATCCCAGCCTCTACCCTGGACGTCGGAAAAAGCCGCTCCTCCGTCGCTCGCCGCCGCCTCGGCCTCCGCAACAGTCGCCGCTGCCATGGTGGTAGGACGAGCCCCGCTTCAGCTGCTTCGCCTCGGTCCTCCTAACAATGACAGCGGGGAACAGCTGCTCCTTTAAATATAAATAGTACTAATGTGACGGAAACCACTGGGACAGCCCCCCACCCTCCCTGCTCACGTGTATTAATAATTTAATTAAATTCGTGAGCTCCTGTCAACCCTGAGGCTGTGGACACAGCTCTGCTCCGTGGGTGAATGTTTACACGCTGCAGTGACAGGCAGCAAACAAAACCACAAGCTTGAACGGGCAGGAAGACGTCCTCATAAATGAAGGCCACCAATATTCTACAGCGCCCTCTAGCGTCTCGGGTCACACAGGTTCTCCCCGTGATTACAATACTGAAAAATAGAATGGAATAGAAATTCCCTAAATGGGGAAATTCTGGTGTTTACAGCAGCAGAAAGATTATTTAAAAAAAATCTCACACAAATGTGGACCCTAGAAAATGTATAAGAATAACATACTAGTGAAGATGTACTGTTAATTTTATCAATATAAAACTGTGCATATGGAGAATAAATAACCAATATACAGCTATGAACATTTTTATAGTAATGGTTATTTGAAAATAGCAGCAACAACAGAGATGTGCAAAATGGCAGCAGCATGTAATTTAATAACTTAGATAGAAACTGTGCAAATCAGCATGAATATAATGACTTACTGAGGTTGCGGGAACAGTGGTGGTTATAGAGAGGGTAACCCATTAAAAATCAGCAGGCTTTAGCCTGCTCTGCAAGGCTTTAAACCTGGGTTTGAATAGCGACAGTCATTCTCAAGCACATATCAAGGTGGATCGATTTCTATTTTTGATTATAGTCATGGTGCGGAATCCTGCTTCACAGCAGCAAGTTGAGCCAAACATACTCAAAATGTGTAGGGTCATCTTTGAGCACGCCATTTCACTTTTCTTTCACCAGTTCACTGCGGTTCTTCCAGCAGACCACGCTTTCTTTCACTTTTTCTCATCGTCTTCTCCCTCTTTCCCACCTCCCAGCTTGCCACAGGGTTGCCTGCTGTGTCTTAAAGTGGCTTTCACCAGCAGTCTTGACTGACAGCAGCCCATTAGCTAATTTGTATCACGTGTAGCCTGGTCCCAGGCGCTCTGGAGGGCTTTACCGTACAAACAGGAGAAGCAGCGCAGGCAAAATTAGATACTGCCGTCAGACAACATGCCGTAATTAATAAATTTAGAAATGTTTTAAAACAGGTTGGGTCTGGATTAGCCAGCAGGTGGGTCCGGATCCGGACCACAGTCGGCTAATCTGTGACCTCTGCTTTATAGAGTGGACCAAGCTTTGGCTTAGAAAACATTCAAATTGAACTGGAAGAACGGGTCCGCCCTGTTAGAAATGGGGAGTTGTTTGGGTTCTTTGTTAGCTTGCAATACCTAATACTGGTCTATGCCTTTGAAAGAGGGATCATTGGAGGGAATTGTTGGCCTGGCTGAACAGCCAAGATGATTTGTCCCCTGTATGAGGGTGGGGGATTTCGATGAGAGTGGGAAGGAATCATCTCTACTGCTGCATTGTAGGTTTTTGAAAGCTGAAACATAAGTCCACACTGTCTGTTTAAGGTTGTTTTTTTCTTTCTTTACATAAATGGCTTCCTTCACACCCCTTTCAAACCACCTGTCTTCTTTGTCCAAAATGTGAACATTCTGGTCCTCAAAAGAATGTCCTTCCTCCATAAGGTGTAGATGTACACAGCCCTTTTGATACAATCAAATGATTTCATGGGCAATCCTAGAGGAAAAAAAAAAACCTGGTGCCGACCCTGCCGCACCCCTGGTAAATTTGGCCAAGAACTGCAACTGCTTGGTGCATTCAGATCCTTTTTATACTTTTTACTCTCAGGCAAAAGCAGAAGCAACTCCGCATGATACTGTATGTTAGCATTTTGCAGGGATTGTTTAAACCAATCGCATGAAAAATTACTGATGTTAAATTATAAAGCTAATAATAGATGATTATGAATCAGAATGTGTTTTGTTCTCATCTGTATTTTTTTTTTTATCTCACGTTGTTTCCTTCCTAGTTAGAGACAGTAATATTGAGAAGCCACACCACAGGAACACCTGTCTGTTAGCTGACATCAAAGTGAGCTCACATGTGAATACTAAGCTGGGGAGCATCAGTTTAGACTGTGGTACAGCTGTATAAGACTGTTTTCTTGCACCCATGTTGTTGTTTTTTTAAGAAGAAAAAAACAAACAAACAAATGAAACTGATCTGCGGCTCCCTTAGGTGCAGGATGCTCAGATGACCTCTTCATATTGAGCCCTTTAGCAGTTCTATGATTGCCCACAAAAACTGTTTTATTTGCCTACTATGTATCACCTCTGTACTAAAAGCTCTTTATCAGTCTTGGGTATTTTTCACATTTCTGTTGAGGAATTTCATTAGTCTTTGTTTGTTTTCTTATTTTTTTCTTTGTTTTTTTTACTGACTATTTGTCATAATTAGCTAAATTACATTTTAGCAAAGTTAAGAAATGGATAGGCTTTGATAAAATGTTACAAATTTCTAAAGACACTGTTTCTAAGTTACTCACATTTCATTTGTTGTAAATGTTATATTATTACAACATTTAAAAAGACTTATTCAGGAATAACTGTTATATCAATAATAATAATATTATCCCCTTTCAAATGAGGACTTTCTGTATTTGATAACATTAATGGTTATTGGTGGACCTCACTGGTCAAAAGAGCACAAAAGTGCATGTACTTCCTGAGGGGTATGAGGACGGCCCACCTGCCCCAACCATCCTCATACAATAAAAGTTGTATAAGTCTGTCTTAAGTGTCTTAGAACTGTTACATTATTCTCTTTCAAAAGAGGACTTTCTGTATTTGATAACATTAGTGCTTATTAGTGTATACCACTCACTGCATTAATGTATTAAACTGCAAAAAGTGCATTATTTTAGCCAGTCTGCTATGGACATTTGACGGAATGTTTTTTAGGCTTGTGATTTTTCTAACTTAATCTATTATGGTTTGTTGAATGAAGTTTTGCCCTGTTCACAATTTTTCTCCATCATGGTATTGCTTTTTTGTGGAAAAAAATATGAGTAAAACATTGCTGTATTGGTAAGTTACTAACGCAAGAGGGCGCCGTTTCACCAGTAATCTGAGAAATCATACTTTGATCTGCAGTGAGCTGCTCAAAAAAACTTCATCTTCAGTTGACTATTAGTAAATCTTTTAAATATAAACAGTTTTTATTTTATTAAACCTAATGTTCTTTAAAAAAATAAAAAGTATTTTTGATTTATCAAAGGAGGTCCCTCTCTCTGGAGTATATAATGTGACTCTCTCCATACAAGATTCTCTATCCATCCCTACATTACTTCTTGCTCTTTGTTTCAACCTATGTTGGTCCGGATTTCATGTCTGACCACAGTTAGAAAAATATCTGCCCTATTTTAAACTGTAAATATGATTTTATACTTAAACAATTCGCTTAAAACTGTGAACTTTATGATTTTAAATCTGGAAAACTGTTGGAACAGATAGTTGGAATGTGTCTGAGTTTCAGGCATGGTCCTTAAAGGTACTATTTAAATTTAAAATTCCAATTTGACTTTAAAAATATAACCATCTTGACACCTCCCAGAGCAAGTGGAAAGGAAAACGATGTATATTTCTGATGGTGTTCACCACAGACAGAGACTAATGATAGCAACTATGTTTATCCTGGAAGCACTTTGTGATGAGTCAGGGGAAATCTCCAGAATTACCGAACATTTAAACCTTGAGAATAAGTTTGAACATTTCAACTTTTGAAATTTTTTTTACATAAAAGTTTAGAAAAGGTTGTGATCTGTCTGAATGGATGGCTGTGTGCTGGTAAGTCTTGTGTGGCGCAGAATCTCCTTATGAGAATGATTAACTAAACAGCCTTCCATCAGTCCGCTATACTCGTCTCCACTACTTTATCATTGCATCATTTAATAATGTTCTCAGCGAACCTGCTGGCAGAAAAACAGTATTTCTGCTGAAAAAATAGAATGACACAGAAGCTTTTCATTTGTTAACATTTGATTCCCTTGATTATATTTAGCATATTAGACTAAAGGGGATTAAATGGAATATATAAGCCTCACTTTTTTGTCTTTATTTGTAAAAAAAAAAAAAAAAAAAAGAAGAGATGAAAATGTGCTGTGACCTAGAATACAGTACAAAAAATTTACCTCAGAGATGAAAGTTTAGGAAAAAAGGAAACAAGGGAAAAAAGCAGAAGATCTGCAACAAAAGCCAGGGATCACAGTAAAACGTTACCTTAACATGCAAAGAAGAATGACTTGTAGATTTTTTTTTTATGCATTGTAGATCTGATACAGAGGGAGTTAAAATGAGCTGGAGTGGCTCAAAAGACAAGGTCTGGGAATATGTGTTTTTATGTATTAAAATACAGCTTTAATGAAGATGAAACCAGCATTTACTCAACAATTCTCTAAGAACACACCCATAAACACATTTTAATTGATCAGGCAGGATTTAAAGTAAATAAAATCCGACTCATGACACATGAGCCAAAACAAATGACATTGCAGAATATCTAGTTTCATCATTCAGTTTGGTAGGCTCAAACCAAGCTTTGTCTATTTTTGGATAAAAATGTTTGGTTTAAAAAAACAAAAACCTAAGCAAACACCTTGATCCAATATTTACTCATGGTTATCACAGCCCTGGCATTACTGTTTAATCACAGTCCATGTGATCACAGAGATGGACGCCCTGTACCTTGTTCCAGTGGCCTGATTAACAGCTGAAGCCCTGCTCTGAATATCACACTGGCTTTGATGTAGAGATGACGCATCAGTAGCTTTGATCATTGGCACTTTGCAGTTTTGATCTTTTGGGGATAAAATAAGCATGCACCATCTCTGTTTTAGGGATTTAACAGCACTTGATGGCAGGTCATGTGTGTTTTCTCTAACATAAGGATTAATGTGCAGATTTAAACTGCAGGCACACACTTAGGCTCCCTGATGGGTTCCCATGCCCAGTGTTTCCTGTGCATATCAGTGAGGTGAACTGAGAAGAGCTGATTCCCCTCACCCTCATTCTTTGGAGATATCTAACTAGGAGGTAGGACACCCCAGCGAGGCTCAAGAGGCTTAGATCTCCACTCTGCAGATTGCAATACACCAATGTGCCTCTGCTGTCCTTTTTCCATCAGCTTAAACAGCATGTCTCAGAGAACTGCTGAA